GGAGAGGGAGGGGAAGTAATGAGGAGTGGATAACAGGGGCTCAAGTAGAAAGCAAATGTTTTGAGAATAATGAGGGAAACAAATGTACAAATGTGATCAACACAATGGATGTATGTGTGGATTGTGAGAGTTGTATGAGCCCCCAATAAAATGATTTTTTAAAAAAAGAACACCTGTGCCTAGATGGGGACACTGGGCCATCTCTGTTGCATTACAGGAGCCGAAGTAGAAAGCAATTGTTTTGAGAATGATGAGGGCAACGAATGTACAAATGTGCCTTACACAATTGGTGTATGTGTGGATTGTGAGAGTTGTATGCGCTCCTAATAAAATAATTTTTTAAAAAAAGAACACCTGTGCCTAGATGGGGACACTGGGCCATCTCTGTTGCATTAACCAGGGATGGTCACGTGGCCACATTAATGTTCTGAGAAGACAAAGACAAGCGATCTTAGTATGTGGCCAGAAGCAAAGGAAAAGAAATCAGAAATCAGGGGGTGGAAAGCAGGGCACTAAGGACAGTAGTGCCATCAAAGATGGATTCTTGGAGAGCCTCACTGGAGAAAATATGTATAAATATTGTTTTAAATCTGTCTAGATCGTTTGATTGAGTCTCTCTACCAGGGGTCCGTCTGCTCCAGTAGACAAAGACTGGGAAAGAACTCCCGTTAGACCCTCTGAGCTAAGTACGGTGCACACCCATCTGTAAAATGACATAACAATATCCTCCCGCAATGAGATTGAGATGAAATGCAAACATAGAGATAGCTGAGTGTATTACATTAACATGACATTAACACAATAACATGATATTAGCACAATAATATTAACAATGGTGAACATTTAAACAAACAACAACAGCAAAATGAAAACACTCTTATTGTCAGCAAGTTGATTCTGACTCCTGGTGAACTGCGTGCTCCACCCGGCTTCCTGCTACAATCTTTATGGCAACAACTCAGCCAGGTCTTTCTTCGATGGGGATAGAACCGCCACCCTTTCTGTTAGCAGACTCACAGCTCTGCCTCCTCCCCTGGGGCCTGTTTCATGTGTGCAGACAGCTCGTTACCTGCCAGCCCATGGTCTGATATTTTTCAGGAAGCAAATGCCCATAATGGTCACAGTTCCTCTAGGCCAGGGGTCCTCAAACTTTTTAAACAGGGGACCAGTTCACTATCCCTCAGACCCATTGGAGGACTGGACTATAGTTAAAAAAAACAAAAAACTATGAACAAATTTCCTATGCACACTGCACATATCTTATTTTGATGTGAAAGACAAAATGGGGCAAAAACCCCGGCGGGCCAGATAAATGTCCCCGGTGGGCCGTATGTGGCCTGCGGGCCGCAGTTTGCGGACCCCTGCTCTGGCAGGTCGTTGCCATTCTTCTTCCCATTTTGTAAATGAGAATCCTAAAATATCCCGAAATCGGGCAATTCATTCTAAGGTGACATATTAACTAAGTCAGAGAATCCCTATTCCATGCCAGGCTACCAGGGCTCTCCCGGCATCACTGGGAGAGCAAAACCTCTCTCAGAAAAGCATCCTGGGGTTAACACCCGGCTACCCCGTCCTCCAGTCAAAGAGTCACCTTGAGAGACAGAGCCCTTGTTGCTTGGAAATAATTTTGGGGATCATTTTTTGCAGCATCCTCGGGGCTTATGATTCAATATTTCCAGAATTCTTCAAGGTCACTGTCTCTGTCCTTTACGGATAGATTCATTTTTTAAAATACCCCAAAGCCATGCATAGCAATGACTCTTGTAGAGGCATGGTCTGTCTGGGTAATGGGGGGTGACGATGAGAAATGTGGAAGCAGCCCCTCACTGACTTCACAGGTAAGTTCCAGAAGTCGATTTTTCAACCTGCTTTGGGAGAGCATCTCTCTGTCCGATGAAGTATGAAGTCGCATAATGCAATTCTTTGGGAAGTGATGTGGCCACTTGGAGACCGGTGTTGTTGCTGTCTGTGTGTGCGATGGTCCGGCCATGCAAGCCAGGCAGAGTGCTCAGTCATAGCCGTTGCCAGAGACTCTCTTCCCTTTGCAAAGAATCCCTGTGCTCAGCCTGTAGTGGCTTGTGATTTTAAGCCCCACCTTTGGACAAATACTGAACATCCATTAGACTATGTACTGTAGGAAAGAGTCATCATCACTCATTTGAATAAATAGAAAATTGATTCTCCCATGAGCCAGGGGGGTTGGAAAGAGGCACCATGTGGCCCATCCCCTGGTGGTGCCGCAAGGCAGCAGTGGGCTGCTAACTGAAAGATGGCCTCCCCGGAGATTAAGGTCAAGAAAGCCTTGTTGGGAAGCTCTGCTCCTTCACAAGGTGGCTCTGGGTGAAAATCAGCTCCATGGCACCTAACAACTAGACACGTGCAGACTCACATAGGCGACACAACTTGGCAAGCAGAGCTGGAAGGATTTCAGTCACATCCAGTACGTCCACCACGGGACTTCGTGCATGTCCTCCGGGCTGTGATGTCCGTAGGGAGCAGCAGGGCAGTGCTGCTGTCCTGGACCACTGTCAGAGGACGTGACACCAGAATTCCCCGAGGGACTGAGCAGCAGCAACATGGGGACAGGCAATGCTGCAGGGCGAGCGTGTCAGTAAGATTACGTCACCCATCACTCGGGGCTGTAACGGGCACCGCCACCGTCCACTGCCCATCGGGTGTTGATGGGCAGACCAAGGAGCCCACCAATGGGACACAGAAGAGTCTCCACCTTGGCCAGTGGGAAAGAGGAGCGGCTCTGAGGAGCTACCTAGGGTAGAGCTGGGAGCTGGGAGAAACTGAGCGCATGTCCTTAGCCCAGCCCCGCACCTGGGCATGGCCGGCCCAGGCCCTCCACCCACAGGAGTGGTGGGACAGGGTGGGGGGAGAGGAAGGGGTGACAGCATGAGTTACTACACTGGATGTGGATGACACCAATCCTGACATCACTGCATGGTGGCCCTGCTGGCAGCTATAATTCTACTCCCAGTGCAAATGATATTGTTTAAAATAACAAAAAATCTACCAGAAGCTAAACTTCCCACCCATGATCCATTGTAGTTCTCTGATAGAAGGGAGCTAGATGAGAACTGTAAAAACAATAAATCTGATGGTCATATAAATCAATCCCAAGAATCTCTATATTTTTTAAAATAAAATGTCATGGTGTACAGCAGACAAAAAAAACAGAAAATCTTAGAAGAGTTTAGAGGCCTCTTTGCCTAGATAAATTCAGGATGCAAAATTAAGTGTGATGCTGTAAAAGCACACTAAATTGTAAAATATGTTTTAGTAATGACTTTTGGTGTTCTTAAAATATCTGCTATCTAGATGTATATATCTGTAATGCACTTTCATGAATTGTGAATATCATGACTGCAAGAAAAATCTGTTTAATAAAACAGAGTGTAATAATAACCTAGTCTAATGTGTCCAGTAAATAGTCTGTGACCAACAAGCTGAACGTAATCGTCTGAGAAAGAGCAGGAGAGACAGAACTAAATAAGTTACCAAAGACACTTTTGTATTTACCTTCCCGAGAGATTTTTAAAATAGCGGAGTAACATCCATTAGACTAAAATGTTGTTAAGGTATCCGGCGCTGAGAGACTTGAAAAATATTAAAGCTATGGAAAAACAACCAATTAACTCAGTCAAGCATGCTGGTAAGGCATTTCGGAAGCCCGCAGAGATTAAGAGTTCTCGAACACCGCCAGTGTTTGCAGTGCTTACCGGCAGAGCCACCACCCTGGCACAGAGGACTCGCTCATACTCCTGTAAACCCAAGGTCAGGGGTTCAGAAACCACTAGCTGAACCTTGGGAGAAAGATGAGACTTTGTCGTCCTGTAAAGGGCTACGGCCTCAGAAACCCCCAGGGTCGGCTCTGTGCCGTCTTCAGTGTCGCTGTGAGTCAGCATTGCCTAGACCAGCTGCTCTCAACCTGGCATCGCAACCCATTTGGGGATCAAACGACCCTTTCACAGGGGTCACCCGATTCATAACAGTAGCAAAATGACAGTGATGAAGTAGCAACAAAGCTAATTTTATGGTGGGGGGTCACACTCTCACAAGAGGAACTGTATCAAAAGGTCGCGGCGTTAGAAGGTTGCGAACCGCTGGCCTAGACCTCAGTGGGTTTGCGAGCGTGGTTCTTAGACTTCAGTTCACTGCCTCGTCTGAAGGTCTATTATAGCAGGTTGCTTGATGAAGTTGGAGGAGCCAGTTCAGTGTGGGAGATCCAACCCACTCACTGTCGTCTATGCAACCCACCACATATTTATGCCCTCTTTTTGATTCAGGAAATATTACTTCTGAAGAAAAAACACATTTATTATTAAGATATAAAGTTCCTGTAAAGCCTATCCTATCATCGTCACATTTAATGAACATGTCTGCCTTGATTCTGCAAGCCATATCGTGTTCCCATGAGTCATGACAGGTGGTGGCTCAGCGTTGTGATAGAAAAGTTAAATTATTTGGTCAAAGAAATAATTTGAATCACTAAAAATACACACATCTTAGATGCTCATTTCAGATATTCAAATTTCTTTTTTAAAGTTTTATTGGCATGTAATCCACATATCAGACAATAGTTCAGTCGTATCAAGAACAGCCATATAGTTATTATCACAATCAATTTTAGAACATTCTCTTCCTTCTTGTGCTTATTGTTCATAGCTTTCTATTT